TGGAATACAAACAGAAAAACTTTAATTGTATTTCGAATTAACAGCAAAACCACTTTAAGGAGGGAAGAAAACTAACCAAGTAATGTTTGTACATAGTATTTTAACTACATGTCCTTAAGCGAAACAAAAAATGTATTATAAACAAATATTAAACTCTAATTAATAAGGTTTGTTTTCAGATACATGCTTCAGTAATTCTGAAATTACTATTTCAGGAATAAGCAATAATAAGTAAACATACTGTAGATAAAAAAAAGCAAGTTTTTTTGCTGTCAAAGAAATAAATTACAGATTTGGAAAGAGGGAAGACTAGAATGAACTCTACTGTGTTTGACTGAAATTGAAGGTATTATGATGAATCATGGCTTTTTAGATACATAGATACAAAATAGATCAGAAACAGAGAACGTATGTATACATATAATTCTATCTATTGATATATGTATGTATGTATACATATATATAATTTTTATACACACACACACTAAAAGAAACTGGAGAAACAGCTGATTCCTGGGCTGGGGTGGGAGTATTTTGTTACACTAGAAAATAAGAGAACTCAAAAAGTAATGAGCGCTTGTCGAAAGGACAAAGGAGCCAGCTTGCCTAGTCAAAACTGAGACAAAGGATAAGGATAACTCAATGAATAAAAAATAAATAAAACCTTGAGTATGGCTGGATGGGGTGGCTCACGCCTGTAATCCCAGCGTTTTGGGAGGCCAAGGTGGGTGGATCACTTGAGGCCAGGAGTTCAAGGTCCACCTGGCCAACATGGCAAAACCCCAACTCTACTAAAAAAAAAAAAATTAGCCAGGCATGGTGGTGCACACCTGTAACCCCAGCTAGTCAGGAGACTGAGGCAGGAGAATCGCTTGAACCTGGGAGGTGGAGGCTGCAGTGAGCCAAGATCACACCACTGCACCCTAGCCTAGGTGACTGAGCAAGACTCTGTCTCAAAAACAAAACAAAAAAAACAACCATTGAGTTCATACTAATATGCATATACACCTATATACATAAATGGTAAAATGGGAAAGCTTGTAGAGAATGTGAACCAATAAAAATGACAGACTCAAATCATGTTTGGCAACCAACTTAGTACTGATTCAGATAAGAACAGAGAAGATGCTAAAACAAGTGGTGAAAATCTGATGAAAAGCAAGGTATTTGCCTCAAAGTATCTCCCCAGAAGATACTATTAATAGTTACAAAGGAAACACAGCAACCAAGGAAATACCATAGGGAAACCCTGCAGATAAAACTTAATACCCCCACCCTAAGCAACATAGCAGGATCTCCTCTCTACCAAAAATCTTAAATATTAGGAAGGCATGGTAGTGTACACCTGCAGTCCCAGCTACTCAGACGGCTGAGGTGAAAGGACTGCTTAAACCCAGAAGTTCGAGGCAGCAGTGAGCCACGATCATACAACTGCACGCAAACCTGGGCAATAGGGCAAGATCCCTGTCTCTTTAAAAGAAATCATAAACAGAAGCTCAACATCTCTATTAATGGAATATATGGACAACATATGCTTCCTGATATGGTGCACTGAAAGGAACACAGTACTACTCCTGGAATATTCCTGCCAAAAATGTAGAACCCAAACCTAATCATAAAGAAATAGCAAATCAATATTAAAGGAATTCTAAAAATACTGGCCTATTCTTATCAAATATCATCTCAAAGTTCATACAAGAGGAGTAACCAATTGATTCACATTAAGTGAAACTAAGACAAGTGAATATAAGGCGTGAGGTAGAGTTTACTCTATTAAAGACATTAATGTAATCTGAATATGATCTACAGACAACAGTACTGTATCAAAGTTAATTTCTTGATTTTGATAACTGTACTATATAATTAAATGTGCTTGTTTTAAATATATAGAGTTATTTAGAGGTAAAGGGTAACATGAATTGCAATTTACTCTCAAAACATTCAGAAAAGAAATTATGTGCTCATTTGTATGTGAAGAGAGACAGAGTAAAGCAAATATGGTTACAGGAGGTAGAGAAATCTCCATGAATTATGCACAAAACTTCATCATATTTTTCTATAAGTGTGAAGTTATAAAAATTAAAAATAATAAGAAAAAAATTTGTATTGGGCATTATACCAGTAAAAAGCAAAACAAAACATAAAAACCTATGAAAAATTGAATGATGGTTCTCTTTTACATGCAGCACCAGGGGCTGAGAACTAGGTCCTTCTAATCCCTGCTCTAATGCTTACAGAACTATATTTCTTTGGAAAAATCACAACTGTCGGGCCTCAGTTTCCCTGTTTGTAAAATGGGATAACAGCTATCCAACCATTCTAAACTAAAGATCCACTGAAACATAATAATGGCAGCAGAAAAGAAGGCAGAGTATAAAACACTATATATTATAAAATGGTTCGCTGTTTTCCTATTTTTTTCTTTTTAATTTTTGTGAGTACACAGTAGATATATATACTTGTATACATGAGATATTTTGATAAAGTGGTTAACTTCCCCCGATTCCCGAACTGCCCAGGCTGGAGTCTTGCTCTGTTGACCAGGCTAGAGTACAGTGCATGATCTCAGTTCACTGCAACCTCTGCCTCCCCGGTTCAAGCAATTCTCTTGCCTCAGCCTCCAGAGTAGGTGGGATTACAGGTACACGCCCAGCTAATTTTTGTATTTTTAGTAGAGACAGGGTTTCACCACATTGGCCAGGCTGGTCTTAAATTCCTGACCTCATGATCCACCCACCTTGGCCTCCCCAGTGCTGGGATTACAGGCGTGAGCCACCGTGTCTGGCAAAGTGGTTAACTTTTAACAAATGTTTGGTACATTAAAAGTACTTCAAAAATATGTAAGTTTTTTTCATCATAGTGGGCAGCTGTTACAAAACTAAACATTTGCCACATCACATTTGGGTTTGTAAAAAACAAAATTACTTATTCAAAATTCACTTGAAGGGTAAGAAATATTTCTTTTTAATTTTTTACTCCAGAGGATTTTACTCATATATTTAAAATATTTCAACAAACTCAAACACTTAGGTCTAATTTTTCCTGGCCATAAAACTTTATGGTATCAAAAACATTGCTAGATCAAAGAAAGCCACTAAGTAGGATTTGGTCAATCTTTGAGAAACAAATCACTGTATAGAAATCTTTATATCATTTCCCAAATTCTATTCACTAAAGTACATGGCAAACCATTTCATTTTTCATTGATAAGCTCTTCAAATGAGTCCTGAGGAATCACATCAAATTCAGAAAATATTTGTAAAAGAGACATCACGTTTATCAGATACTTAAAACTTTGTTTTAAAAATAAAAATACTTATTAATTTATTCTTCTAAATTCACAAGGCTTTGGTCTCCACTTAACAATAGTTGCTTTTCAAAATCATATGCATGTGATGATTTTAATGATTCTCATGTAATGATTCTCATTGACAAAATAAAACATCTTTAAAGCTGTATAATAGTTAAGATTCCAAAATACAAACGAAGATTTTAATTTTGCATAAAACTTAATGAAGCCAGTCATATTTTTCCATTGTTGGAAAAATAATTTAAGCAAGTCTACCTGCTTAGTCTCTATTTTGAGCAGCAGACAGACAATGTGAACTCTGAGGCAAAATGCTAATAATGATCAGCCTGCAACCAACACAGTCCCTAGCAAAGAAGCAGTACTGGAGTCAGCAGAGCCTGCAGTCTCCCCAGCTCTGCAGTAAGTTCAATACACACAATGCTAATGAGGCTAAAGGAAAAGGATCACAAGAACATAGGCTCCGAGAGGGCATGGTTTTTGCTTGTCTGGTTTACCACTATATCCCAGGAGATGGAAAAATACCTAGGCCACGATACATGTTCATTAAATATTAGTTATGTGAATGAACAAACTAATGAAAAGAATGAAATCCTAGGTCTTTCAAAACAAATTTGACGTACATTAACTTAATAGTCAAAACTGTCTTTAGAGAACATGAGCAACCTAGTCCTCATTCTGACTAAATAAAGAAATGTCAAAGTTCCTGAGATTTTTCCTGACCTATAGTAGGTATTGTAATACATTTACATAGCCATCCTTAAGTTTAAAGGGTGGCTGTATCAGAAACTCGTATAAAACAAAATTAGACAAAACAAATGCATAAAATCAAAATCATTAAAAGCAAATGCATCATGTTTACCATCAAACATGAGATAGAATTCATTAGGTAAGAAATCGCAAGCTATAGAAACATTTCTCATCAGCATTTTTTTTCTCATAACCAATAGTATCTCTACCACAATCTGCTCCCTCTATAATTAGAAAATTAAAAATTCAATTTAGTCTTTGTTTATTCCTATACCATATATATCAATAATTTATCATCTTATAGTTCGAAGAAATTCTTCAAAAAGTATATTTTATTATTAAGACGTCTGAGGCCGGCGTGGTGGCTCACATCTGTAATCCCAGCATTCTGGGAGGCCGAGGTGGGCAGATCACCTGAGGTCAGGAGTTTGAAACCAGCCTGACCAACAAGGAGAAACCCTTCTCTATTAAAAATGCAAAATTAGCTGGGGATGTTGATACATGCTACTCAGGAGACTGAGGCAGGCGAATCAGTCGAACCCAGGAGGTGGAGTTTGCAGTGAGCAGAGATTGCGCCATTGCACTCTCGCCTAGGCAACAAGAGCGAAACTCCATCTCAAATTAAGAGGTTTGCATTTCACTCTATTTCTTTTGTAAAATCACATGGAACAACATACAAGAATACAAGTAAATACAACAAAAGTTTATATATGATTTATGCTCACTATTGAGCATAATAACTTTTTTCTTCAATTAACCTATTTTTTGTGAAGCAATTCAACTTATCCTAGACACTCTCTTTTAAGAATACCAAAACATTCTAAGTGACAAACTTCATTCTGCTTCCCAAGTACTAACCATATAATCAATATACTATTCCACTACCAGTTGAAACCTAACATATTCCAAAGGGCCTGCCTTATGTGGGTTATAATCATCTTACTATGCTTCTTGTGTCCATGCTGCTGGAAAAGCAGTCTGTACAAGCAGGAGTAGAGGCACAATCCTGAGAGAGAGGAGTAGAGAAAGATGTTGAGAAAACAAAACTAGACAAAATTAGCTCACTTAAAAGCTCAGGAGCTCCAGTGTTCAAGGTCAAAGTTGATTACATTCTTTTATAACATTAGAAGTTGTCCAAAACAGCATAACTGGCCTTAGAAAGAGATATCTGAATTGTACATACAAGCAGTAACATTATCACTAATTTTAAGCCACCTATGTCCCTTCTTAAAAAGGAGCACATGGGCCAGGAGTGGTGGTCACACCTGTAATCCCAGCATTTTGCGAGACTGAGGCAGGCAGATCACTTGACATCAGCAGTTCGAGACCAGCCTGGCCAACATGGTGAAACCCCATCACTACTCAAAATACAAAAATCAGCTGGACATGGTGGCATGTGCTTGTAATTCCAGCTACTGGGGAGGCTGAGGCAGGAGAACTGCTTGAACCCAGGAGGCAGAGGTTGCAGTGAGCCGAGATCACACCATTGCCCAGCCTGGGGGACAAAGCGAGACTCCATCTCAAAAAAAAAAAAAGCAAATGATCATAGAATATGACTCTTTAGGATATTAGGGCTATGAAGTCCCCTAAATGTTAATCAAAATTACTGTAACAAACTCAATACTAATCTAGAATGAAATAATTAAACCCCATGTGAAACATGCACTTCAATCTTGCCCAAAATTTTTTTATAGTTAATGATGTGCAATTAACACTTTCAAATACGTAATCTCTCAAAACCATTATCAGTTTCCATTATCTTGTATATTTTTTAACGTTAAAAAAACTTCTATGTCATTTCAAACAGAGAAACAGAGCAAAACCAGACTTGAAGATAACATAATTACTAGACAACATAAAATTCAGTTACTAGACAACATAAAATTCACAATGAATTTAACTTAACTGTAATCATCAACGGACTAGTCCCCAACTCTCCTCCCCAAAGTAATAACCAGATGTTCAGAAATGTTAACTACCTTGGCCAAGGTCATTTTGATACCTAGGACTGCATCCATTCAAATAATCTTTTTTTCTTTTTAAGACATAGTCTTGCTCTGTCGCCCAGGCTGGAGTACAGTGGCTCAACCTTGGCTCACTGCAATATCCACCTCCCAGGTTCAAGCAAGTCTCGTACCTCAGCCTCCTGAGTAGCTGGGATTACAGGCATGTGCCACATGCCCAGCTAATTTTTTCTGTATTTTTAGTAGAGACAGGATTTCATCATGTTGGCCAGGTTGGTCTTGAACTCCTGACCTCAGATGATCCACCTGCCTCAGCCTCCCAAAGTGCTGGGAGTACAGATGTGAGCCACAGCACCAGGCCAAGAAATCTTTACTTAGCAACCAGGCATGGTGGCACAGGTCTGTAATTGCAGCACTTTAAAAGATCAAGGTGGATGGATCTCTTGAGACCAAGAGTTCGAGACCAGCTTAGGCAACATGACAAGACCCCATCTCTATTCAAAATAGAAAAATCAGCCAGGCGAGGGGTTACATGCCTGTGGTCCCACCTACTCAGGAGGCTGAGGTGGGAGAATCACTTGAGACTAACAGGCAGAGGTTGCAACGAGCCCTGATGGCACCACTGCCCTCCAGCCTGGACAACAGAGCAAGACTCAGTCTCAAAAAAAATAAAAGGAATCTTTACTTCACATATATACTGTGTATTAAGATACTGTGCTAGGAACCAAGAACATGATGCAATAAGGAAATAGAGTCACCATCCTCAAAGAGCTTATCGTCTGGTGGTAAAAACAATTAAAATTATTTAAAATTGCTATGATCACTAGAAGAAAAAGCACCATAATTTAAGACAGTTAAAGACCTAAAGCAGTGATTCTGAACCAGGGTCACTATGCCTCACAAGAAACATTTAATAATGTTTGAAAACATTTTTGGCTGTCATAATTGTGGAGAGTGCTAGTGGCATCTAATGCATAGAGGCCAGGGATTCTGTTAAATATCCTGGAATGCATAGGAGTGCTCCCCAAGCAAATAATTATCCAGTCCCAAATTATCAATTGTTCCCAAAAAGTTTAGATCTTGGGTTCTCATATGGACAGAAAGGGGTTAGTGAAAGACCTCCTTCCTGTAACACTAAGTATGGTACCTCTTTAAAGGAATTTCATAAGGTAGAAAGAAAAAAAATATAGCCTGACAGAATTAACCAGAATGCCCACTAGAAAATGATAATAAGAAAGGAAAAGCAGAGACAGATTCCCTGGTAGATGAAAATAAAAGACAAATGCAATGTTTTATAGCTGCTTCCCATAATTCCCTTTCCTGAACCATAGCCAAAGGAAAAATATACAAACTAAAAACAAATTTCACATTTTTATTATTCCCTGTACATTTTCCACTTTCCTCTACCAACCCATATCTACTACTAGATATGGTGAGATTATAAAAAGTCCTGTAGTTAGACAAAATACTCGCTCTGTATACAAAACTGGAAATAAAGTAAAATGGAGATGGGATCTCACTCTGTAGAACAGAAAAATGTAGTGGATATGAAATTGATTCTGAAAAGTCTGCCTCCTGGAACAGTTTAAAGATTAACCTATCTGAAAGGATCCCAAAGACAAAAAACACTAAGGATTTAAGATCCTAAATATAATTAAAGGTAACAGAATCTTCTCACTTTATGAACTAAGGTAAATCCAGAATTTAAACTGAAATCATTCTCTTGACATATCTCAAGCCTACATATCTGGTCCTACATCTTCCCACTTAGCCTATTCAGGGCAGCAAGAGAAATATCATGGGGAAAAGACTACACTGTAATACAACTAGCTATACAAAGGACCTGAAAAAAAACAGATCATTGACTGGTATTTTCTTATGGTAAAGATTTACTGTTAACTTTTTTGAAGTGTGATTAATGGCAAAGGGACTATGTTTGTTTTTTGGGGTTTTGGTTTTTTTTGTTGTTGTTGAGACGAAGTCTCACTCTATTGCCCAGGCTGGAGTACAGTGGCGTGATCCTGGCTCACTACAACCTCTGCCTCCCAGGTTCAAGAAATTCTCTTACCTCAGCCACCCGAGTAACTGGGATTACAGGCACACACCACAATGCCCGGCTAATTTTTTGTATTTTTAGTAGAGACAGTTGTCACCATGCTGGCCAGGCTGGTCTTGAACTCCTGACCTTGTGATCCACCCACCTGAGCCTCCCAAAGTGCCAAGATTATAGGCATGAGCCACCATATCCACCAGGTTTTTTTTTTTTTTTTTTTAAGTACTTAAAAATTAAAAGAATCTGGCCAGGTGCAGTGGCTCACACCTGTAATCCCAGCACATTAAGAGGTGAAGGCACGAGGATCACTTGAGGCTGACAAGAACAACCTAAGCAACATACTGACACATCCCACCCTTCCCTACAAAAAATTTAAAAATTAGGTGTGCATAGTGGCACATGCCTGTAGTCCTAGTTACTCAGGAGGCTGAGGCAGGAAGATCACTTGAGCCCAGATGTTCGAATTTACAGTAAGCTATAATCCTGTCCTTGCACTCTAGCCTAGGCAAGAGAGATTCAGTCTTAAACAACAACCATTACCACTACCTGCTATGTTTTAAAATGCCCTCTCGAACTAAAGGAAAGAAAGGGTCATGAGCTGCCACTGTCTCCCAACCTTTTTTCAAAAACAAAAAAATAGAGCAAGATCCTACTAGAATGACCTCCATATACTGATCATTCTTAAGTACAGAGTAAAGATATGCAGCTCACATAAAACTGCTGCATTCCAGCAATCGATGCAGTCCCAAAGTAATCCACAGATTTAGGCAGTTCAATCTGAGACCATTCTCACTAGGAAGAAATGCTAAATCATTACAAGTTCCACCATCTTACAGCAGCAGCAACTGCAATAGCTTGCACTGATAATTCCCTTATGGTTAACTGTTCACCCATTGACTGAGGAAATCTTATATTCTAATCTGAACTTAAATCTTTCATTTCAGAATTGAAAGTATTGGTCATGGGATTAAACTTTCATCACAGTGATGATGTTTAAATACAAATTATTTTTCTCCCACAAAATTAGCACAGGGAGTACTCAAAAATCAATTACTGAGCCTAAATCTCATTTAACTCATGATAAGAGAAATTTACCCCATAATTCCTGCACAATTAAAGGATCTTCTGACACAGTAATTTTTTAACACAGAAGTGAAAGGTCAACACCTTTGAGAAATTATGGTGGTGGGGTAGACATGACAAAAACAACTCATACATATCTTGCATAAAGCATGGGATTTTCATAGCTGAGACTCATCCACAGTTTGCAGTCAAAAATCTGTATTCTTGGGGTTTTCTTTTTTTTCTGAAACAGTCTCAACACTGCTGCCCAGGCCAGGGTGCAGTGGCTATTCACGGGTACAGTAACTGCACTCTACAGTCTCAAATTCCTGGGCTCAACACATCCTCCTGCCTCAGCCTCCCAAGTAGCCTAGACTACAGACACAGGCCACACAATTAACAAAAATCTGTATTCCTACAGTCTCTGGCATCTTCCTATTTTCAAACCAATGATCTCCACAAAATTAAAAGATGAAGGTGAAAAACATTCAGTCTGGAAAAATCTGAGACTTAGCAAGCCAGAAAACGTAACTATTTCGTATTTTAAACACTTTATTTGGGGCAGGCACCATGGCTTAGGCCTGTAATCCCAGCACTTTGGGAGGCAAGGTGGGCAGATCATCTGAGCTAAGGAGTTCAAGACCAGCCTGGGCAATATGGCGAAACCCTGTTTCTATGAAAACAAACAAACAAACAAACAAAGGAAACAAACATTAGCCCAGCAGGGTGGCCTGTAGACAGCAAGTACCTGTCTCAACTTCTCTGAGTTGGGGTCTCACTGTTGCCTGGGCTGGAGAGCAGTGGTGCAGCTCACTGCAGCCTCCACCTTCCTGGTTCATTCGATCCTCCCACCTCAGCACCTGCACTCTCTTCTAACCCCCTCCCTGCAAGCTGAGACTACAGGCACATACCACCTCAACTAGTTAATTTGTGGTGTTGTTTTATAGAGACGGTTTTCACCATGCTGGCCAGGCTAGTCGGGACCTCCTGAGCCAAGTCATCCGCCAGCGCTGGCATCCCAAAGTGCTAGGATTACAGGCATGACCCATTGAGCCCAGCCTATTTTAAACATTTTAAGGTGAAGTATCAAAATATCTTGTTGACAAACATTCATGATTATTCTTAATTTTGATTCCTGACAAAGCAAACAGAATTGATAATTCAATGTTTCAAAGATACCTTTAAATTAGCAGAGCAAGCTCTGATGGATTAAGCCCAAAGATAAAAGCCTTTAAAAGCCAAACTGACTGCAAGCATGGAAAACATTCTTTTCTCCTAATCCTGTAATTCTTTTTAATTTTTGTAATTTGTAACACATAATTTAATGGAAATCAATCGTTACTGAACTACTTCCCTGTATATGCTTACTTGCAACAACAAAACATTTAATACACATCACCAATTACAACATTCACAGAAACTGCATTCAAAAAAAAAAACAGTATTATATATTGTTTGTGTAACAAAAAAAAAAGTATTTTTCTGAATCTTCTTCAAATACTTTTCCTTTCCTCAACTATGACTCTATACTGCTATTTTTAAAGCTAACCTCATTTTGAAACATGGTGAAATTAGTGCATGTAAATAAATAAGGAAATTAAAAGACTTAAGTTCTTTGAAATCAATTAAGGTGAAAGGGGAAAATGCTATATACACTAAAATGGGACTACTACAAACCTCGAATTCCTGTAAAAAGAGAAAACAAGTCAAATACCTTTCTAAACATGTAAATGTTAGGCCCCCTTATCGTTAATTAATATTAAAATGGAGAAACTGGCATTAACATTTCTTCCCTACTGTGACCAACCATAGTGTACTAACCCCTTGTTTATATCTAATATTTGGGAGCTACTGTTTAAAATGTCTTCTGGCACTGTGGGAGGCCAAGCGGGGGGTGGATCACCTGAGGTCAGGAGTTCGAGACCTGCCTAGTCAACATGATGAAACCCCATCTCTACAAAAAAATACAAAAAATTAGCTGGGCGTGTTGGAGGGTGCCTGTAATCCCAGCTACTTGGGAGACTGAAGCAAGAGAATCACTTGAACCCAGAAGGTAGAGGTTGCAGTGAGCTGAGATGACGCCACTGCCCTCCAGCCTGGGCAACAAGAGCAAAACTCCAAATCAAAAAAAAAAAAAAAGGTCTTGGATGGCCCCTTGAGGGAGAGGACCACGTATTAGGAACCCCCTGTACAAAGAGAGATACCCATCAAAGGGTGTGTGTGGGGACAAGTGGGGAGGATTAAATCCAATAATGGCAAAAAACAAAAACAACAACAACAAAAAACCCACCCCAGGCGTGGTGGCTCACAGTTGTCACCCTAGCACTTTGTGAAGCCAAGGCAAGATAGGATCACTTGAGCCCAAGAGTTCAAGATCAGCTTGGGCAACATAACAAGACCTCCTCCACAAAAAATAAAACATGCGGGTGTGGTGGCTCTAGCCTGTAATCTCAGCTACTTGACGGGCGGAAGTGAGAGGAAGACCTCTTGTGCCAGGGAGGCAGAGGTTGCAGTGACCCAAGATCACAACTACTGTACTCCAGCCTGGGTGACAGAATGAGACTCCCTCTCAAAAACAAGATAAAAAGATAGCTAGAAAAAAAAAAAATGAAAGGCCGGGAGCGGTGGCTCATGCCTTATAGGTTGAGCTCATGCCTATAAACCCAACACTTTGAGAGGCCGAGATGGGCAGATCACTTGAGGTCAGGAGTTCAAGACCAGCCTGGCCAAAATGGTGAAACCCCCATCTCTACTAAAAATATAAAAATTAGCCGGGCGTGGTGGCGCAAGCCTGTAATCCCAGCTACACAGAAGGCTGAGGCAGGAGAATCACTTGAACCCAGGAGGCGAAGGCTGCAGTGAGCCGAAATAGTGCCACTGCACTCCAGCCTGGAATATAAGAACGAAACGCCGTCCAAAAAAAAAAAATCCTAAGTCTATTGCTTTATCAAGTTGTTCGAAAATAATAATAATCTTAAAAAAGAAAATGCTTTCCAAAAAAAAGTTATTTATCCCTGGTATCTAACATAGCCCAAATATTATCTACAGTTTAGCCTCTTTGCTAAGATTCCCAAATACTGATTCTTTTTAAATAAATTGAAACAAGATAAAATTATGCAACGGCATTTAAAAGTACTGTCCTATTTGGGCCGTCACAGCAAAAAGCCTAGTATTTTAAGAGGTAAATATTAAAGATACTCTTTAATAATCACAGTATTGAATAAAGTATTAACACTTACAAGAGTTCATAAAATTTATGCAAATTTAGTTACCAGCATAATTACTCTTTGTAAGGGAACGGGCAAGGATACTAATGCTGACTGTGCAGATAGCTATTTGCTATGTTTGATGTTTACATTAAAGCCTATTTAAGTCGGAGTTTAAAAAGAAATTGAATATATCTATCAAAACCTGTCTTCTTCCAGACTAGTACATTTATCTACACAACGAAAATTGTAATCTGCTTTTTAAAATCTCATTTGACATGTGAATGAACAAGAAATGTTTTCCCCAGAATTTTCCCTCTCTCGATGTACAGATCTCTCCCTACCACTTGCCTTTATGTCGTGATGGATGAGGAGTGAGTAAAAATAGAAGATGTCGCAGAATAACTTTGCCTGCCTACCCACCATCCAATTAGCTCAAATCCCTAGTTGGCAGGTTCCTAGTCAACAATGTCTCAATTATAAACACTACGTGTAACGTGACCATAGATCAGCATCCCGCAGGTTCATTTCCCCCACCGCCCCCAATCGGTGTCAGTCTCAGTAAGGACCCGGGAAGGTCTGGAGAGTGATGTCCAGCGTCCATTTAAATCTTCAAAGGCCCAGGAAGGAGGTGGGCGGGCCAGACCTCGGCGGAACTGACCTCGAGGGACCTGGAGTCTCCGGGGGAGGGCCCAACCGGGCCTTTCCCTCCAAGCCCGCAGCCATTCCATAGGGCGTCAGAGACGCCAGAACCTCCCTCCGCCCAGGGCGGCCCTCCCCCAACCCTCCTCCCGAACCCGGGGGAGGGGCGCCCGGAGGAGAAACACCCCTCCCCCACGGACACTGCTAGTCCATCGCTCACCCCCCCTTAAAAAGCCCGCAGGCCTGCGCCCACCCTCCTAACCCCGACCTCGGCCCGGGGTGGGCGCGGTGCGGACAGGAGCGGGGGAGCCCGGCTGCTATACCAACCTCGCTATTGAAAGTCTTCACGGCCTCCATGTTGTCGCTGCGGAGGCCCCGAGCCCGGCGGCGGAAGAGGCGGCGGCCACTGCACTGGGTGGGGAGAGCGAGACGCAGGCGGCTGCGTGGCCGTGAGGAGGGGGCGCCGGCGGGAGAGCGGGTCGCTGCGACCTCGGGTTGGAGTGGAAGGGCACGCGCTGGAGGGGAAGGGCTCCCTCAGGGGCAGCGCGGCCCCGGCATGGCCGCTAGGGCGGGTGGAGCGCCGTTCTGGGGAACAGAGGCGCTGCCGGGGCGGGTCGGCGGCGGGCGGGGGAGGGGCTGGGCCGCGGCGCCTTCTTTTCTCCGCTCCGCTCCGTCTCGGTCCCCCACCCTCTAGCCCAGTCCCCTACACTCTCCACCCCCTTCTTTCCCTGCCTCCGACGGGCTCCTTTTTCACCTCCCCACCGCTCGGGCCGCAGGAACCAGCAGCGCTCGGCGAAGACAGAGGAGGAAGCGCTGGCAACAGCGGCTGCGGCATCCAATATGGCCGACCCGAGTCGGGCCGCGCAGCTCGGGGATCCGCGGCGCTGGCCAGCGCGCCCCCTGGCGACTGGACCGTGCGGGCCCCGGCGTCCACGCCAAAACCATCGAGCAGGCTAGGGCCAGAGCGTCGCCGCCCGGAGGCCCCGCTCGACTCCGCTGCGCTCGCCTGGGCCCCGGGGCCGCCCGCGCGTCGCCCCCTCCCCGCGCCCGGTTGCAACGGGAGCGAGCGCTGCGGCATCTTGGGGAACGCCGAGGCCGTTATGTACAGTGGGAGGAGACAGCTCCAAAGTGCAGCTCCTAAGAAGAGCCTAAATGTGCCCGAGAAGCAGCAAGTTTAGGAAATGTGCCCGTTGCCCTTGTTGCCCGGTGGATCGGTCCTTTTGCACGAGCGGCTGGGTTTCGCTGCTTTTCAGAACTTGACTGGACAGTGCCCTAAACACCCGCAGCGCCCCCCCCGCACCCCCGCCAAGAAAAAGTTCCTGGCCGTCTATTTAGTAACAGCGAACTCAAGCGTTTTAACTGCACAGGGAAGGAACGTTAGAAACAAAAGCCTTGGATCCGGGTTGGGGCAGGCGGCGAGAAAAGCAGGCAAGCAGCAGCTCCTTGCAGGAAATGCCCGCTGCATAGGATCAAGAGACTGGAGTGGCACAATGAGTGCATTTATCTGCAAGGCGGGAGGAGGACCCTAGAATGCACAGTACGTGAATAGGTGAAAAAGGAACCCGTGTGTTTCGGAAGATGAATTGTTTTAAAGGAATTTTGCCCTAGGATACTCGGAGTAACGGTAAATACAGCATTACTTAGATGGATTAGGAGATTGCTGCTAGTAAAAAGCCTTCTCTTTCGTGCAGTGCAAAATACGATACCAATTTTAAAATATTCATTGAAGTTAAAAGGTAGGGATGTATTGTGGGACCCCGAACACTGCTGTCCTCTTGCTGAATGTCATTTTTCAACAATCACTCCTCCTAAATTCCCTCAAAGGAAGAGAGGAACACGAGGGCAGAATCGTCCTTTTGGAGAGTTTTGGAATGAAGGTAGTTCCTAAGAGCTGTGCTCAGAGCCCCGTGAGGCTGGGAAAGTAAGGCCCTTCTTGAGGTTTCAGAGCCTTCACTCTACTTCCTTGGCAGCCGTAGTATAGGGGTGATTACTGAGAAGGTAACGGCGGTAACTCCACTAATACGCATTTTATTTTTACCTTCAGAATCTCAAATTCTGTCACAAATTTCTCCACCGCCTCCCATCTTTAGGCCTAGCCATGATGATTTCTAACCAACACTTGCAGTAGCCTCCTAACTGGTCCCTTGTTTGTCTTCTTACAGTTCATTTCCAGACAGTAGCTGAGAGTTGCTTTTCTTAGACAAATCAGATCAGTTCACTCCCTTGCTTAAATCCCTTAGATACTTTCCCATTGCCCATCAGTATCATCATAACTTCTCACCATGGCCTGAAGGTCCAGCCCACCCTGCGGCAGCTCACACCACCTTCCCTTCTCCCTGGCTCTGCTGCCACACTCCCTTCTTTCTGTACTTGACAACAAGTAGTGTTTTCCTAGGTAGGGCAGTTGTGTCTTCCTGCAGGGTGCTGTTGCTCCTGTTCTTTCCTCCTCCTATCTTCAGTCTTCCTGCAAGAGGTCTCCTAATCACTACATCTAAAGTATCATTTGCTGTGGTTTGCAAAAGTACGGCACTCAATCTATGCATGCCAGGTTCTCACCATCGAAAGTCACTGCCTTGAGGCCCAGCATGGTGGCTCATACCTGTAATCCCAGCACTGTGGGAGGCCGAAGCACGTGGATCACCTGAGGTTCTGAGTTCTGGCCATCATGGGGAAGCCCGTCTCTACTAAAAATACAAAAAAAAAAAAAGTAGCCAGGTGTGGTGACACATACCTGTAGTGTAGCTACTCTGTAGGCTGAGGCAGGAAAATTGCTTGAACCTGGGAGGCAGAGGTTGTAGTGAGCCGAGATTGAGCCACTGCACTCCAGCCTGGGCAACAAGAGTGAAGCGCTGTCTCAAAAAAAAAAAAAGTCATTGCTTTGGCTTGTAAGGGATTATTTATTCTGTCATACATGAAATGAATGTTGATGGAATTACTTAGGCCTGAGATTTTAAAATCCAATACCAACTAAAGGATAAAATCGGTTAACATGTTACACAATTTGATTTAATGAAGCTTCTACACTCAGAATGGTAACAGAGGGCAGAGTTTGATCAGGGGAAGCTGGGGGGTGGGGGGATAAAGAGCAGCCTAAACCCGCTTTTTTTTTGAAATGGAGTTTTGCTCTTGTCACCCAGGCTGGAGTACAGTGGCACAGTCTCAGCTCATTTCTCCACCACCAGAGTTCAAGCGATTCCCCTGCCTCAGCCTCCAAGTGGTTTGGACTACAGGCATATGCCACCACTTCTGGCTAATTTTTGTATTTTTAGTAGAGACAGGGCTTCACCACGTTGGCCAGGCTGGTCTCAAACTCCTGACCTCCAGTGATTCACCCACCTCAGCCTCCCAAAGTGCTGGGATTACAGGTAGGAGCCACCATGCCCAGCCTAAACACAATCTTAATGTGAGAAGGCAATAAAGCAAGAGAAGGGTTAGAGAAGAGCCTGGGGACCCAGTGCAATGGCTATATACAAAGCTTATACACTATATACAAAATTTATACATAACTACAGAGTGTGAAAACGCTAATATGGGGTGTGTGTGTGTGTGTGTGTATTCTGATTGCCAGTATAACCAGCCCATGTGAGCTAGCTTAAGTATAACAGAAGAATTAGTTATTATGATGTAGGTTTTTCTCCTGTAACCAAAAGTCAGAAATGTAGCTGAGCCCAAGGGAGGGGCTTGAACCAAAATAGAAAATCTAAGAGGCAATGTAATCTCTGCTTATCTGCTTAATTTTTCTATTGCTTTACCCAATTCTCTGTTTTATCTAGTGGAATTTATTACTTTTGGTTTTATAGTTCTAGCTAGAGGACCTGAATGAAGACCTCTCCCTTCCCAGTTCGGAATTCCCAAAGGATGAAATAAGGAATTTTATTGACCCAGCTTGGATTAGGTGACCATCACCAAGAAACTGAAGACCACTAATTTGGTCCTGAAAAGACTGATATGAAATAGTGGGCAGGAGTATTCCAGTCATTGGAAGAGATATTTCACATTATAAATTGTGAAACTCAATCTAGTTTCTGGTGTTCTGTAAATATTGTTATCATCAAACTGTCCCCAAGGACTAAATAGTTTCTAGGAGCAACTTACAGAAACTAATTCAGCTATGGCCAAGAGGTCAGAGTCAAAAATAGTCTAGAGCAGTAATTACCATAGAACTTTCTGAGGTCGCGGAAATGTTCGGAATCTGTGCTACCCAATTCAGTAGCACTACCCGTGTGGCTACTGTGCACTTGAAATATGGCTAGGGCAGCTGAGGAAGATAATTTCTAATTTTATTTTACTTTAATTGACTAATGTTTAAGTATGTGGCTAGTGGCTAACATATTGGAAATCATAGGTCTAGCTAGAGGGTACTCACTCCTATGGACAGGATACTCCTTAGATAATGGACAGTGAGGTGGCACTAAGCAAAATAAATAAATAAAAACTTGTGAATTAACAGCTATTCGAAGGAATAATAGATGTTTATGAGTACTTTTAAAATGGGGCAAAAGCCTGGAGCATTGTCTAAATTAAAACTAATGCCCATCCAATGGGAAAAAAGAAAACTTAGGAAACAAACATTCCACAATGCTTAGTAAATTAGGGTATAGCGACAAATGAATTATACTACCAATAAAATAACTTTTTAAAGGTTGTGTGAAACTACATGGCAGCTCCTCAAAAAACTAAACATAGAATTGCCATATGATCTAGCAATTTCACTTATGTGTATATAGCCAAAAGAACTGAAAGCAGAGACTTGAACGTGCATGTTCAGAACAGTGTTATTCACAACAGCGAAAAGGTGGCAGCAACCCAAGTGTTCATTGATGCATGAATGGATAAACAAAATGTGGTACAATGGAATATTCAGCTTTCAAAATGAAGGAAGTTCAAGGCCCAGCACAGGGGCTCACACCTGTAATCCCAGCACTTTGGGAGGCCAAGGCAGGTGGATCACCTGAGGTCAGGAGTTCGAGACCAGCCTGGCCAACATGGTGAAACCCTGTGTCTACTAAAAATACAAATATTAGCCAGGTGTGGTGGGTGCCCTCCTGTAATCCCAGCTACTCGGGAAGCTGAGGCAGGAGAATCACTTGAACCTGGGAGGCGCAGGTCTCAGTGAGTCAAGATCGTGTGATGTACTCCAACCTGGGTGACAAGAGCAAAACTTCATTAAAAAAAAAAAGAAGGAAATTCTGACACATGCTACCACATGGTTCAACATTGAAGACTTTGTGCTAAGAGAAAAAAAGCCAGTTACAAAAGGAAAAGTACTGTATGATTCCATTTACATAAGGTACCTAGAATAGTCAAACTCATAGAGACAGAAATTAGAATGGTAGTTGCCAGATAGGGAAGTGAGAAACCGGGAATTTGTATTATTATTATTTTTGTGACGGAGTTTCGCTCTTGTTACCCAGGCTGGAGTGCAGTGGTGCAAACTCAGCTCACTGCAACCTCTGCCTCCTGGGTTCAAATGATTCTCCTGCTGGGACTACAAGTGTCCACTACCAAGCCTGGCTAATTTTTGTATTTTTAATAGAGACAGAGTTTCACTATATTGACCAGGGTGGTCTCAAACTCTGACCTTGTGATCTGCCTGCCTCGGCCTTCCAAAGCGCTGGGATTACAAGCGTGAGCCACCATGCCCAGCCAGGAGTTGTTATTGAGTAGGTACAGAACTTCAGGCTGGGAAAATAAAAATTTCTGGAGATGGATGGGGGTAATGGTTTCATGGCAGTGTGAATGTACTTAATGCCATAGAGCTGTGCACTTAAAAATAAGTTTTATATGTATTTAATTACAATTTTTCAAATCTAAAGAAATGGTTAGAATAGGACTAGAAATATAAGGGAAATATATATAACAGACTATTAAGTATAAAAGCATAGAAAACAAACTATTAATGTATTTTAGCTCTAAAAGTATATACGTAAGGCCTGAAAAATGATATGAAAAATAAAAAATTGTATTAGTATACTGGGATTATGATATGTTTAAAAATATGTTGTCTCTTTCTATCTAATAATTCAGTAATTTTCTTTTTTGGTTGTGGTTTTTTGTTTTGTTTGAGACAGAGACTCACTCTCTCTCCCTGGCTGGAGTGCAATGGTGCGATCTCAGCTCACTGCAACCTCCACCCCCCACCCCTCTGGGTTCAAGCAATTCTGCCTCCACCTCCTGAGTACCTGGGATTACAGGTGCCTGCCACCATGCCAGGCTAATTTTTGGTTTTGGGTTTTTTGTTTTTTTTTTTGAGACAGTCTTGCTCTGTTGCCAGACTGGAGTGCAGTGGCACAATCTTGACTCACTGCAACATCTGCCTCCCAGGTTCAAGCAATTCTCCTGCCTCAGCCTCCCAAGTAGCTGGGACTATAGGTGCACACCACCATGCCCAGCTAATTTTTGTATTTTTAGTAGAGATGGGGTTTCACCATGTTGATGAGAATGGTCTCTATCCCTTGACCTCATGATCTGCCCACCTCAGCCTCCCGAAGTGCTGGAATTACAGGCATGAGCCACTGCACCCAGCCGTATTTTTAGTAGAGACGGGGTTTCACCATCTTGGCCAGGCTAGTCATACACTCCTGACCTCATGATCCACCTACCTCGGCTTCCCAAAGTGCTGGGATTACAGGCGAGAGCCACCACGCCTGGCCATAATTCAGGAATTTTCTATCTCATTTTTTTTAACGGGCACAATATAATTCACAAAGTCACCAAACTTGATACCAAAACCAGGCATCCTGAGAGAAGCATAAGGTATTAAAAGTAAACATTTTACACGGGGCTGGGTGCAGTGGCTTAACACCTATAATCCCAGCACTTTGGGAGGCCGAGGCAGGTGGATCACCTGAGGTTGGAAGTTCAAGACCAGCTCCATCTCTACTAAAAATACAAAATTAGTCAGGCATGATGGCACAGGCCTGTAATCCCAGCTATTCGGGAGGCTGAGGCAGGAGGACTGGTTAAATCCAGAAGGTGGAGGGTGCCATGAGCTGGGATTGCCCCACTGCACTCCAGCCTGGATGACAGAGTGAGACTCCATCTCAAAAAAAAGGTTTGGACCCGATAATAGAACTATTATTATCATGTGATAATAGAACTATTAAGTATTTATTTTGGTCTGGAGACTAGCCGTGTAAAAAAATTGAAATACTAAGGGCACTGTAACCCAGAGAATTTGAGAGCCTCTGTGTTAAGATTTTGCATTATTGGATTTTTTTTTTCTGCTTTTAATATGAAGACACTAGAGAGCTACATAAAGTTTTAAAAGGTAGCTGTTGAAAAGCATATACCAGCCTGACGGTGCTCACAGCTGTAGTCCCAGCGCTTGGGGAGGCTGAGGCAAGAGAATTGCTTGAGTCCTGGAGTTTGAGACCAAGATGATGAAACCCCATCTCTACAAAAAATGTGAAAATTAGCCAAGCATGGTAGCACACACCTGTAGTTCTAGCTACTCAGGAAGCTGAGGCAGGAGGATCACTTGAGCCCAGGAGTTTGAGGTTGCAGTGAGCCGTGATCTCTCCACTGCAATCTAGACAAGCTGACAAGTAAGACACTGTCTTAAAAAAAAAGCACAGATCTTGCCATTTTTGTTTTGATTTAAGAGATTTGTAGAGAAGAATGAATTAGTAATCACAAAGAATTATAAAAGTGAATTGAGTGTGGACATTGAAAGAATTAGTACTTGAAGCACAAAATGATGGTGAAATGGAACCTAATCTTATTTGTGGGGTCAGGACATACTATATGGTTTTTAGGATCTACAATCATAGCCCTGTTGACTCCTGGGGACAGTTGACACCTTAAAATGATAGATTTCTGGAAAAATGGCAGACCAGAGTTCCTAGATACTTCTGTCATATACTATCAATACTAATTAAAATACTTAAATTTTCTTCATACTTGTTTTGCTTTTTTTTTTTTAATTGAGACGGAGTCTTGCTCTTTCCCCCATGCTAGAGTGCAGTGGCACAATCCCAGCTCACTACAACCTCCACCTCCCGGGTTCAAGCGATTCCCCTGCCTCAGCCTCCTGAGTAGTTGGGATTATAGGCGCGTGCCACCACACCCAGCTAATTTTTGTATTTTTAGTAGAGACAGGGTTTCACCATGTTGGTCAGGCTGGTCTCAAACTCCTGACATCATGATCCGCCCATTTCAGCCTCTCAAAGTGCTAGGATTACAGGCATGAGCCACCACGCCTGGCCTGGCTGTTTTTTTTTTCCATGTCCATCCTAGTGAATGAGAAGGGGCATCTCATTGAGTTTTGTTTTGCTTTGAGACAGGGTCTTGCCCTGTCACCCAGTTGAAGTGCAGTGGTGCAATCACAGTTCACTGCAGCCTTGACCTCCTGGGATCAAGTGATCCTCCTGCCTCAGCCTCCTGAGTAGCTGGGACTACAGGTTTGTGCCACTACACCTGGCTAATTTATTTTTGTAGAGACAGGTCTCACTATGTTGCCCAGGCTGTTCCCGAACTCCCGGGCTCAAGTGATTCTCCCTCCTTGACCTCCCAAAGTGCTGAGATTATAGGCATGAGCCACTGTACTTGGCCAGATTTTCTTTTGTTAGAGACACGGTCTGACTCTATCAAACAGGCTAGAACATAGTGACATGATCACACCTCACAGCAGCCTCAAACTCCTAGGCTCAAGCAATCCTCCCGCCTTGACCAATGGAAGTGCTGAGATTATAGATGTGTACCACCATGCCTGGCCAAATTTTCTTTTTAAATTCTTTGTTTGATAGAAATGAAAAACAGTCCACAAAGCCAAGCAAGTGGAAGCAGGAATCCAGAGAAATAAGGAAGACCTGAAATGGCAGAATCCTGTGACCATCTACCAGTCCCTGATGTCACCAAGCTTTGATTCTGATAGCCATACAAGTATACAGAACATGAGAGGACCAAGTTATGGAGGACAGTACACAAAGCTTGTCTGTAGGTGTGGGTGGGGAGAAGCCAAGAAATGTGCCTGTCTCCATCCACATTGGAACTGAGTGAAGAGAGAGGGAAAAAATTCCTCTGAACCACAGGTTAGTAGACCTTATGCAAGTTTGTGGCCCAATTCATAATTCTTGGGTAATGCGAAAAACCTCAAGCAAAGAAATTCTGCTGAATTGGTACTGGGTTGGCATGCCTCCAGGCAACTGACAGGAACTGCAAATTCTCTCAGAGGAAAGCACCTTTAGGCGGGGTGCGGTGGCTCACACCTGTAATCCCTGCACTTTGGGAAACCAAGGAGGGTGGATCACCTGAGGTCAGGAGTTTGAGACCAGCCTGACCAACATGGCGAAACCCTCTCTACTAAAAATACAAAAATTAGCTGGGCATGATTATGCATGCCTGTAATCCCAGCTACTTGGGAGGCTGAAGCAAGAGAATCGCTTGAACCCAGGAGGTGGAGGTTGAAGTGAGCTGAGATCACACCACTGCACTTCAGCCTGGGTGACAGAGTGAAACTGTCTCAAAAAGGAAAAAAAAAAAAGGGAAAGTACTTCAACCTAACCTTCAAAGAAGTTTGACAAATAAAGGTCTATTGCAAATAAGATTACAACCAACCATCTAACAAGAAAACAAAGCATCATAAGCAAAAGCCAAGAGAAGCAAAAGACAGCAGAATCAGACCAGCAAAAAGTTTGGCTGGAGGAACTGAATTCAGAATATAAATGTTTAATAGATTTCCTAGAACGTGATGGGCTAGGTAATTCAGACCAGCCCCATTACTGAAAAAAACAACAAATGCTGGCTAAAAGAAAAAAATCTGGCCAGGCAAGGTGGCTCACACCTGTAATCCCAGTGCTCTGGGAGTCTCAGGCAGGAGGATCACTGAAGCCCAGGAGTCCGAGGCTGCCGTGAGGTATGATCACGATCACGTCACTGCACTCCAGCATGGATGACAGAGCAAGACTCCATCTCTAAAACAAAAACAGAAAGAAGAAAAAAGGCCAGGAACGGGGGCTCACACTTGTAATCCCAGCACTTTGGGAGACCTAAGTGGGTGGATCACCTGAGGTCAGGAGTTTGTGACCAGCCTGACCAACAGGGTGTAACCTCATCTCTATTAAAAATACAAAAATTAGCCGGAAGTGGTGGCTCACATCTGTAGTCCCAGCTACTTGGGAGGCTGAGGCAAGAGAATTGCTTGAACCCAGGAGGCAGAGGTTGCAGTTTACAGTGAGCGGAGATCATGCCACTGCATTCCAGCCTGGGCAATAAGAGCGAAACTCCAAACAAAATAAAACAAAACAAAGAAAGGAAGCAAGAAAATAAATCTTAAAAGCTTTGAAATCACTAAAAGCAGGACACATCCTAAAACTAAGAACTCAGAAAGGCAAGTAGAACCCTGAAACTGATTTTTCTTTGAGAGCAGTTCCATTTTGGACAGACTTGAACTTTGGGTTTTGATAGTCTCCTGGGGTAAAGGGGGCAAGAGTCAAAGCCTAGGGGCCATGCATGTTGGGAAGGCTAATTTGGGAGTCTCCTCATATTGAGCTGGGTCCTCAAATGGCTATAACCCAGGATTAGGGCAAAACAGAAGTGAATTCATTACCTTCTCTACCCCGGGGGACTCTGAGAAAAATTCCTTTGTCTAAAGAAAGCAAAGAGGGGGACAGTGCTGAAAAGTGTCAAGCTAGCCTCTGCATGCATTTGCAGCTCAAAAGTAAATTATCTGGCCAGGTATGGTGGCTCATGCCTGTAATCCCAGCACTTGCAAGGCCAAACAGGAGTATCACTTGAGTCCTAGAGTTCAAGATCAGCCTGGGCAACACGGGGACCTCATCTCCCCAAAAAATAGCCAGGCATGGTGGCCCACATCTGTGGTCCCAGCTGCTGGGGAGGCTGAGGTGGAAGGATGGCTTGAGACCAGGGGATAGAGGTGGTAGTGAGCTGAGATTGCACCACTGCACTCCAGCTTGGGTGACAGAGAGAGACCCTGTCTCAAAAAAAAAAAGGTACATTACCTTAAGCCCTAAATGTAATTTAAAGTGTTCCCAGAATAGTGCCCATAGGCACCCAGGAAAAGTTAATGCAAGACCTCTCTGCCGGACTGCTCCTTCATCTAAGGCTATAAGGAAATCCTGCAAATAAATTCTTAAGGATAGACTGTATTCCTTTACTATTGTTACTGTAACAACTTACCGTAAACTTGGTAACTTAAAATAACACACATTAATTATCTTTTATTTTTTTGAGACAGAGTATTGCTCTTGTTGCCCAGGCTGGAGTACAATGGCATGCATGATCTTGCTTCACTGCAACCTCCACCTCCTGGGTTTCAAGAGATTCTCCTGTCTCAGCCTCCCAAGTAGCTGGGATTACAGGCATGGGCCACCATGCCTGGCTAATTTTTGTATTTTCAGTAGAGATGGGGTTTCTCCATGTTGGTCAAGCTGGTCTTGAAATCCCGATCTCAGGTAATCTGCCCACCTCGGCCTCCCAAAGGGACAGGATTACAGGCATGAGCCACCACACCTGGCCACATTTATTATTTTACAGCTCTTTTTTTTTTTCTGAAACAGAGTTTCATTCTTGCCACCCAGGCTGCTGTGCAATGGCATGATCTTATATTCACTGCAACCTCTGCTTCCTGGGTTCAAGTGATTCTCCTGTCTCAGCCTCCCTAATAGTTGGGATTACAGGCGCCCACCACTATGCTCCATAATTTTTTTTGTATTTTTAGTAGAGACGGGGTTTCACCATGTTGGCCGGGCTGGTCTCAAACTCCTGACCTCAGGTGATCCACCCAGCTCAGCCTCCCAAAGTACTGGGATTACAGGTATGACCGACTGCACCTGGCCTATTATCTTACAGCTCTTGAAGTCAGGAGTCCATACTGGTCTCACTGGACTAAACTCCAGATGTCATCAGGGCTGCTTTTCTCCTAGAAGGAGCTTCTAGGGCATAATCCACTATCTTGCCCTTTGCTAGCTTCTAAGAGCTGCCTGCATTCCTTGGCTAGTGGTCTCTTTTTGAATCTTTAAAGCCAGTAAGAATGGCTGAAGTCTTTCTCACATCAAGTCTCTGCCATAACTTCCCAAGTCACACTTCTTTCTTTCACATCTCCTGCCTCCCTCTTTCATTGATAAGGACTTCTTTATGTGATTACATTGGGTTCACACAGGTAATCCAGGATAATCTCTGCAACTCAGGACCCTGAGTTTGATTACATTTGCAAATTCTCTTTTGCCATTCATACAGATTAGGATGTGGACACCTTGTGAGGAAGGTATTATTCTGCCTACCAAAATGAATATTACATAGTAAAAAATAAGCTGATAAGGAAGCCATATGCCATGAATGAGAATCAGCAGAAAAGACAGATGAAACATATATACATACATATATACATATAGATCACGAGCCAGTTGGACTTAATGTAGAAATGTAGCATTGCTTTGACACTAGAAAAATCCATTGATATAATTCACATATTAAGAAATTAGGAGTTGTGACATGTCCCTTGACAGAAAGTTGTAAAAAAAAAAAATTATGTCAGCAAATGCAAAAAAATCCATCGATATTGTATTAGTTTATTTTCATACTGCTAATAAAGACATGCCCAAGAGTGGGTAATTTGTAAAAGAGGTTTAATTGACTCATAGTTCTGCAGGGCTGGGGAGGCCTCAGGAAACTTACAATCATGGTAGAAGGAGAAGCAAACCCATTCTTCACATGGCAGGAGGAAGGGAAAGTGCTGGAAAGAGGGGAAAAGCCCCTGATAAAACTGTCAGGTCCAGGGAGAATTCCCTCACTATTAAGAGAACAGCATGAGGGTAACTGCAATTAAATTACTTCCAAGATTTAACCACCACCCAGTGTGTCCCTCCCATGACACATGGGGATTATGGGAACTACAATTTAAGATGATATTTGGGTGGAGACACAGAACCAAACCCATA